ATATCTCCTGACGCTTAAGGCATCAACTGCACAGTGTTCCGTTTACGTAATGGGACTAGTCTATCTGGCTCATACAGTCATTACATAAGCCATACCAGACTGTTGCTTTCAGTAAATTATCTCACAAGAAATGAAAGAAACATTCTGTTGTGACACTCATCCCCAACTACCAGGCTTTGGTTTAGAGTTATCCCTATTCTTCATTTATTAACTCTTATTTAAAAAGGAATGCTTCCAACTGCAGATGTCCTCTAAAACAACCTGATACACACAAATGTATAAAACAAATACATTAAATGCTGGCTTACCCATATGTAAAAGGATTCCCATCAGAACTGCTTTAAGTTAGGGGTTTCTGACTAGAGGTGCATCCCAGAATGACCTGTGGAACTTTAAAAAACACACATGCCCAGGAACTCAGCCATGGAGGATCTGATTCCATAGGCATCTTGTTTTTTAAAAGAGCCACAGGTGATTCTGATGGACCATCCCGTTAAAGAACCCTCACTACAAACCACTGGCTCTCAACCCTGGGTGTGTTTAAAATTTCCATGCCCAGCCCCCACCCCAGGCCCGTTGAATAGGACCAAACAATGGTCCCTTAACACCGTCCCAGGTGATTCTCAGAGCAGTCAGGGTCAAGAATCAGAATTAAAGAATGAGATCTTCTGACAAACACTGATTCTATTTACAAACACGTTTTCAGAAACCTATCAACAGGTGACTTGATTACCAGGTGAATGGGAAGGTAAAAGAATAAAGAATGCTTGGAAAACCCAATTTATCACAGTAAAAACAGATCACTCTTGACTATTCAAGGGTGATTTAAGTGGTTTACAGATTAATCACGATTAAGGCCCAGCAGGCAAGTGGGATGGCTTTACCTCTCCCCACCCCAACCGTGACATCCACACTGGCCCAACACAGGTTTCTAGGAAGGTGGGAACCACCGGAGCTAATCATCTTAGGTCTCAACTACACTAACTGTGGTTAATGTGCAAACTGACTAATCAGCACCAGGATAATCAAGAGGCAACTGCGCTTTGTACGGGGTGAGGTCTACTCTTGTTGAAAAAAGGAAACCTATCTAAGTGCCAGAAAGTCAATTTTAAAGAGCCTTTATTTGTCACAGCAACTTTAATTGTGTAGTGACAGGATACGTAGCTTAAAATCTGACAGTAAGGAATTCCAAGTATGTAAGACTTTTTTTCATGCTTTCAGGCATAAAAAAAAGATTACTAAGATTCAAAGAAAAGAAACTCCATTTTGAAATTTATAGAGTTACACTGAGAAAATATATACATAAATATTATGGTTTTTCATCACTGAATTCTAATACAAGGTGTTAATGTAACTCTGAAGTGCTTTTCAGTAGTCTTGCTCAGTGTTAACTACGCTCCTGTATCTGACAGACGCCTTCTCCTTTCTTCTCTAGAGAAATGAGACACTAGAAACTAAAAACGCTAATGCACCCGTCAGAATTTCTCTTTCTCTTTCCTCCAAGTTTTTATTTCGAAGACGTTCATGCAAACAACAAAGCTGAAAGAAACGTATAATACCCAAATACCTTCCACCTAGATTCAACTATGAACATTTGCCTTTTGTTCTCTCTTGCTCCACGCATGCACGCACACACGGATTTTTTTTTTTTTGCCTGCACCATTTGAAAATAAATTGCTTACTTTGATTCCTTTATCTCTAAAAACTTTAGCATGTGTATCTCTAGAATAGAGATATTCTCCTGAATGGCTTCAATACTATTATTACTGCTAGGAAAATTGATCATTTCCTAACAGGATTATCCAGCACATTTTCAAATGTCCCCAACTCTCCTTAAAATGTTTTTTATAAATATTTTTTCAAGTCGCCACTTTTCAAAATGATGCTCATATGTTTTTCAAATCTCCGGTGAATTTATCATGGATTTGTGTGGCCATGTGTAATGTTAGATGATTTTTAAACATGCTAGCTCTACAAGGAATTCCTGTCAGTCCATGGGATGCTCCGCGGTCATTAAAGAAAGTTCCTTCCTGCCTCTGTAGTTATCAACTTAAAATGTACTGATAAAAGTTTTTCAAGACGTCCTCCTTTCTCTTTTCCCCTGAACGGTCAACAGAAATATCTGTGACATCCACAGAGGTGCTCTGAAATTGAAGGAGCAACAGCACTAACTAACAGAGCACCATTTTCCCCTCAAAAGTTCCCTTTGTCGTTTATTCCTTTTATAAATCCTTAGTACCTGAGTAAGCGGGGTCTTGGTAGCTGCTAAAAGGTAATGGTGTAAGAACCCTCGAAAGCCTATATGCAGCCTTGTAGCACTGCAGACATTTATATTTTAAGGTTGGGGTGCAGAAGATGGAAGGCTGAGTAACTGGAATAGTGGTGGTGATGGTGGGGTCATGGTGATGGTGGTGGTGGTGGTGGTGGTTCCAATTTCAGGTCCTTGCCCCAGAACAAATATATATTCAGAAATATAAACTATAATTAGGTTCATCAGGTATTTTCCATTGCATTACAGAATTAAGCACATGTTTTATATAAGCAAATTGTCACTGATACCCAAATCTCTTTTCACCTTAATTTTCTAAGTTTTGTGGGGTGCTTTTAGAGCACAGAGAACAGGAATTTCTATGCTTATAAATATTATCAACATATCCACTGACATTTCATTTCAGTCGAGAACATGAAGAGAGCAGGATTACTAGAGTATAGGATAATGACCATAGCCAACTGAGCAAAGGGTTCTTCAGTAAATCTCAACCAGGCAACGCCTCTCACCTAAAGGCTGAGCTTCATTACTTGAGACAAGCACTTTCTCTGTTGCTAACACCCACTTAGAAGCCCTGGCGGCACAGTGGTTAAGAGCTTGGCTGCTAACCAAAAGGTAAGCAGTTCAAATCCAAATCCAAATCCACTAGCCACTCCTTGGAAACCATACAGGCAGTTCTACTCTGTCCTATAGGGTCGCTATTAGTTGAAACCAGCTCGCTGGCACCTATCACCACCACCACCCACTTAAACCCATGCTATGCTACCGCACCTATAATCATTTTACAGGAGGTTTTTGTTTGTCCAAACATCGAATAACTACTGCATTAATCTCTAGGAGACCTGCTTGCTAAGAATATTCTAAGAGTATAATATAATAAAATGTTTATTGTAGGACATTGTGAAATACAATGCACACCTGTATGTCTGGAAGCCCGCATCTCCAGACATGTGGGAGTCTCAAAGGTCTGACTGCCCATTGCTTAACTTCAAACTTGGCTATAATAACTGACTACCACTTATTTGTCTGCTTCAGTTTACCTTCATTGTGCAGTGAATATGTTCAGCATGGTTTAATCAATTATCTACACTGTTCAAATATAATAAGCCACCTACAAAATTAGATTTATGGTCAAAACAATTTCATCCATCATCAAGGCACTACCATAAATATTTAAAACCGTGTATTTTACAGATAATAGACAAGAATTATCTTAGGTGAAGGGAAGGACAGCACACATTACAGGCGAAGTCACCACAATGGGACTAAACCAAAGCTAAGAAGTTTCCTGAATACAATCAAACACTTCAAGGGACAGAATAGCAGGGGTGGAGGTCTGGGGACCATGCTTTCAGGGGACATCCAGGTCAATTAGCATAACAAACTTTATTAAGACAATCTGCATCCTACTTTGGTGAGTGGCATCTGGGGTCTTAAAAGCTAGCCAGCCGCCATCTAAAGATGCATCAATTGTTCCCAACCACCTGGAGTAAAGGAGAATGAAGAACATCAAAGACACTAGAAAATTATTAGCCCAAGAGACAGAAACGGCCACAGAGACCAGAGACGTCATCAGCCTGAGACCAGAAGAACTGGATGGTGTCTGGCTACCACCAATGACTGCCCTGACAGGGAACACAACAGAGAGTCCCTCATGAAGCTAGGGCAGGGTGGGATGCAGAACTCAAATTCTAGTAAAAAGACCAGACTTAATGGTCTAACTGAGACTGAAGGAATCTCAGAAAGCATGGCCCCAGACTCTGTGTCAACCCAGAACTAAAACAATTCCCGAAGCCAACTCTTCAGACAAAGATTGGACTGGACTGTGGGACATAAAATGATACTCGTTAAGAGTGCGCTTCTCAGCTCAAGTAAGTACGTGAGACTAAATGGGCAGCTTCTGTCCGAAGGTGAGATGAGAAGGCAGAGAGGGTTAGCAGCTGGTTGAATGGACACGCGAAATCAGGGGTGGAAAGGAGGAGTGTGCTGTCACAGTATAGGGAGAGCAATTAGGGTCACATAACAATGTATGTATAAATTTTTATATGAGAGACTAACTTGAATTGTAAACTTTCACTTAAACTACAACCATAAAATAAATAAATAAATAGAACCAGGTATTTTATTATCTAGAAAAATGAACCATCCTGGGTCTATATGCAGACTATGCCCAGTATCTATTCAACCACAACTGTTAAAAGGAAAAAAAAAAAACCCACACAAACACCAAATGAATGTAGCAGAGATGCTAGTAGAAAGCAAAATGACACCACTTATCTTGGGAACCCTCATCACTTTGAAGGTAAGGGATCAAACACACGACCAACCTAATCTTTAATTACTTGCTAAAAACAATTCTAGCAAATTCCAACATGCATACATTGTTTAGTAAAATAAAACATCTATGGGAATAATGTTATCAACTTTAGCTATCATTGATGATCTCTTCCTAAAAAAAAATTATAGCAGATTCAACTCAATGATAAGTATCTATGCCTTTCCTAGAACGGTCTCAGTTCCTCTCTGTCGAATTTTAGGGACTCACCTGCAGAAGAGAGGGATATTTCTGTTAGGGTAAAACTGATCTACTTTTTGACTGGCTAACACCCAAAGATTTACAAATGCAAAACCAAACATGCAGAAATATAGGCTCTGTCACCGGACATTGAGTTTATTCAATGATACAAATGAAAGCTTACCAATCAAAGACTATTTTAAAAAGAATGCCTACCTGCTCTTTGGATGGTACAAGGAGTTCTTCAATCATCATGCTGTCCCGAGCATAGGAGCTTCTGTTCAAAGTGTAAGACCTATCCGAACTGAAGGAGCGGAGGCTGTTGTATTTACGGTTAACCATTCAACAATTGGAGATGACGATGAGATGAATAAAAGAAAATTAAAGCATGCAACTTTAAAAACACGCAAGGATGGCTAAAAATAGCAACAAAAGTCATTCTTGAAAAGACACTGTCAAAAACAAAATTCTTTATATTTGAGGAAATCTCTTGAGCTTAGATAACCTCGTCATCAGGTTTTGTTTGAAATCCAGCCAATTGGTGTTAAATCTGTGACAAGATGAAAACACATGAAACACTTTGGATGTTTCACTATGACAGTTGAACCAACACAACAATTGAGAAGAACCATGTGATTCTAGATAAACTGACCAAGATTTTCTTAGGGTAAGACCTTATGTCCAACTCTCCTCTCTGATCCGTATGTACCTGGCTGGTACTGTTCAAGGGAATTACACCTGCTTTAAATGGGTCTGTTTGTAAGACTTTGGGAAATAGATATAGCTTTAACATATGTGTTCATATGGTTTATAGTCATTACTAATTGAAAACATCAAGAAAGACGTAGTGTTATGGATACAACTTCTATCCTCCTCTTCATCATCTTCCTGGCCTCAAGGAAAAATTCAAATTCCATGTATGATTATTTTGTCTTTCCTGCAGGAACAGATTTGCTCTTTTCTTTTTTCCCCTCTCTCTTTTCTACTGTCCTCCTTTCTAGCGTCTTACAAATTCTCCATACATTCCCTAAACTTCCTATAGTGCGGGTCACCTGGTACTAGGAAGCACCACGCACCACACTGACCTCTAAATTAGAAACGAATGACTGTCTATATAAGTAATAAATTAGCTGAATCTAAAAGTGGCTTGTTGTATCTTTACTGGTTGAATCAGGTAGACCCTGGCCTTGCCTTGTTTACGCTTCATCGAGAGAAGAGAAAAAAAAGAGGTAAATAAGGAATTACTTCCTGCTTTGCACAAAACTCTGTTTTTTCCCCACTATGTACTATACGCAAGATTACTCTAAAGGGGGTATTCTTGTACCAAGATGCAAAGGCTCCTGAAATTATAGGCATTCTTTTAGGTGTCTATGCAAATGGGGGAGCCCTGGTGGCACAGTGGTTAAGATGGCTGCTAACAAAAAGGTCAGCAGTTCGAATCCACCAGCTGCTCCTTGGAAACCCTATGGGGGCAGCTCTACTCTGACCTACAGGGTCGCAATGAGTGGGAATTGACTAGAAGGCAACGGGTATGCAAATGGAAAAGTGCATTCTTACAGGATTCGAGACTTAGCTTTCAGCAGAATCTCAGAGGAATCTTTGATACAAAAAACAACAATGACCATCACTATACAGAGTCATTATGTAATGTACACAGCAAGAATTTATGGAGTGACTATTATGAGCCAAGGGAGCCCTGGTGGCACAGTGGTTAAAGCGCTTGACTGCTAACCGAAAGGTCAACGGATCGAAACTACCAGCTGCTCCACTGGAGAAAGATGTGGCAGTCTGCTTCCGTAGAGATTTACAGCCTTGGAAACTCTGTGGGGTTGCTGTTGAGTCTGAATCGACTCGATGGCAGTCGGTTTATTAAGAGCCAGGTACAATCTGAGAAACTGGGGATTCAGAAGCAAAAACGGGAAGCATTATCCCTGCGTGGAGGAACAAACCTAACTCAGCCACGCGGCTCTGACCATGCACACTCGTGCCTTCTGTGCCCCAGTCACATAACTAAATAACTCTCCCTCCCAATTTCAGTTGCAAATATATCTTTCTGTTTCTAGCCCCTTACCTTCCCCAAATACAACGTAAGCTTCCTGAAAGCAGGAATTCTCTCTCTACTTTCTAACTCAACACTGTCCAATAGAACTTTCCACACTGATGGAAATGTTCTATATCTGTGCTGGCCAATACAGAGGCCACTGGCCACATGTGGATACTGAGTACTTGTAATGAAGGCTAGCACGACTGAGGAAGCAAAATTTTATTTAATTTAAATTTAAATAGCTATGTGTGGCTAGTGGTTATGGTATTAGACAGTGCAGCTTCTAACTACTCATAGCAAGGCTCCATACTGCCCCACTGACATGGCTTGACAAACATTGGGAAGCACCACTCTCTGCATTGGACATTTATTCCTTTAAGTTATGGCTCCCAGAGCACAATGTGTAAATACTGGTCGTACGTGAGATAGTTTTATGGTAGATATGGACACTTAAAATTAAAAAATACATACACATAAATTTTAATTTCGATTTTTAAATATATCTAAGGATCACCATGGTCTGATGCGCAACCGATCATGGGGATGGTGCAAGACCAGGCAGCGTTTAGTTCCTTTTCGTAGAGGGTATACTGCGAGCCAGGGGCCGACTGGATGGCAGAAACAACAAGATTTGATGATTCTATTTAAACATCCCTTCCTCTTTTAACATATATAAGTAACTACAGAGCCTACAATTGGGAGCTATCAACGAAAAGGCCTAGGGGTGTCTTCGTTTTACGTCATGTCTACGGTTTCTGCTCCTAATGGTCCAGTCCAACCTACATCAGACAGATGGAGCCCAGCAGATCCATTAAGCTTCACTCTCAATCCTTAATACACTGAAGTACTTTCAGTTACTAAAATTAGAGATTGTTTGCATGGGGTTCTGGAAAGCATTAAAATATTTTCTACTAAGGTCAACTACATTATTTGTAGCCATCAGTATACCCTGAGTGTTAAATACAGGAAGCGTTAGAAAAACACATGCCTCACAATTCTAAAATCACACTAATGTACCTAGCACAACTCAAATAAAACAGCAACCAGCAAACAAACAGCCTTGCAAAACATGACTTTTTCTTTAAACCCAGTGAAATTTCTCAGTTATTTCATGCACTCTTCAAAATTTGTTAAGCAAAGAAATTCCTCAAGTATTCAGTCAATTTTGCATAAGTAACATTTCTTATCATAGACTTAGTTACTTGCTGATTTTCTCACAATCACAAAACCGATTTTCTAAAGCTGAGCAGAAAAAAAAAAAAAGCACATCAGAGCACATCACATCACAATGCTGAATAAAAGAAAAATGAGCAAATGAGCAGGAGAGGGAAAGAAACACTGTAAAAGTGTCATGTCCTCTTACCTGACCTTGGGACTATTTTATAGTATTTTTAGAAAGAAAGAGGAGAAATAGAAAGCAAAAAATCAGACAGAGAAAAAAGAAAAAAAGTCATGATTGAATGAAGTACACATTTAATGTATTCCTTTTTAAATGTTACACTCAGAATAGTCTGTTAATACTCTAACAATGTGCTTTAAAAATATGTTTTACAGATTCTTAAAAATTTTTTGTGTCTGAGCATAACATGAGTTGCCAACGTACAAAAAAATGAGTTACACATAATAGCAACAAATAATGGTGCAATCAAAATTACAAGTGTGAAAGGCTTAGAATTGTCTTAAGAAAAAAATTAACTATAAGAGAATATTCTGGTTTTATATCTCACTGGATGTCAATGACTACAATTTTCTATATACACACAATGGACTCACAAAATGGTGTCTCATATATTATCAGAGGAAGGGAAGGTAGCTAGTTATTGGATAATAAAAGCTGTTAAATTTCTAAACAGAATTTTCCCTCGAGACTTTTAAGATCTGGCAAATTCTCAGTTATAACTTGTTGCTAACTGAGATAATCTGAAATATTACTTATTTCAAAACAATATTTTCCCCTTATTAATGGCACCTGCTACCATAAGATTTTAAGGCCTTTTATCAACGTATTTATAAAGTAACAATTCTATTAAGTTACATGAGGTTCAAAATTCTATCCAAAAAAACAAGAACTAACTTGAAGAAAAATCAATTCAATATCTAAACTGGCCACACCAGTGACACTGAGAACAAACTCCCAGATTTACTTTGCGAGGAGTGCCATTTACTATTAGACAATGAAACTTTTTACAACAGATCCTTAAACTATAGGAAAATGTCCCCAGGGCTCTGGCTTGGATGGGTTAATCATTAGCTTTAAAATAACCTGTCAGCAAACATGCTGTTAATTCACAACAGGGAAAAGAAGTCTCCAAATGCTGGATGAGGTCCTATTTCTTTCAACCAGTGTAAGATAAATGTGAGCCAAGGTTTTCCAACTACAAACATTTTTAGGCTTCAGTTTTATGGGCTGAATTTGCCACCATTCCTATCTGTTTGACACTGATAAAACTCCTAAAGTGTCACCTTATAAACGAAGCAATGGAATAGTTTTAGAAGAGATACTCAAACAGTTGGCAGACCATTTTAATAAACAGGACAATTTTTTTCAAGAATGCTCTCTTTTAATCTTCAGTCACAAATTATTCTTTCAGTAGCAAAAAGAGGACAGTCAGCCATCAATACAGACACATTTCTTACTTATTGGTAAATAAGATTTTCTTTCAATAGAGAGCAAAAGTTACTTTTAAAACATTTGTCCCAAATTGGTTCTCCCAGTTTCATCAGTGAGCTCTTTTGTTACTATGCTTGAAGCATGACTGCACAGTGGAAAAAAAGAACAAACAATTAATATGTTCAACCACATAAAATTAAGGACTTAAAACCATGAAAAGAAAATAGCAGAGCATGTATATTTGAGTTGAGAACATTTCACCAAATTCACATCCTCATCCAAAGAGCACATTGTGGGCCTGCGTGCAAAATGAAAATGATTTTGGTTTATGACACATCATGACTGTTTCAAACTAACTATGAGAAACAGTGATAATAAAGTACCTGGCAGATCGAGCTCCAAGACTGAAGCCCATGTAGCCCTCTACAGGCAGGGAATCATCACCCAGCTCCTTAAGGTCCTGTGGCCCAAGATACTTGTCTGTGTCCCCTGTCATTGCATCTTCACCTGCAGATGTACAAAACAAGCCCAGATAAGAAGCCTCCCTTTTGAACATCTGTCAGTTGTGGAGAAAACAGCTCCTCTGGCCCTCAGCAAAGCACCCATTGTATCATATCCACCTTCCTCTAGCCCCGCATAATGTTTATAACTGATGTTTAGAAGGAAAACGTTTAAAGCAGAGGTTAGTACAAAATTTCAAGCATAAATTTAAGTACTGTAAACAGCTCCTGGTGCTAATCACCAATTTTAAAACATCCTCCCTTCTTCCTCCCTCCCTGCAAGCCCCAGCTGATGAGAAAGGTGGATTTTTAATGTCAGCAAGAGTTTCCCGCACCTCTAGCCTGACCACGATGGGGGCACACTGTTTGAATGGACATTGATAGCAAAATAAGAGCTATCTCTTTCTTACCGTGTTGGAAATTACACGTGGGAGGGGAACAGACTTTTCTTTTTTTTAATGGTTTCTTCACACACAGGATTTAGTTTGGAGCTTACATAATAAAGTAGCAAATTAATTTATCTGAACTGTAACTGCTCAATTTGGGGATCTTACAACACACTCATTTTGAACTGTTTCTAACCTTATAAAATTAAAAAGTTTGCTCAGTGGTCCCAGGGCTTAACATCCCCCTGGAAAGCAATTTTGCCTTCCACAGGATAAAACTGGCGCTTCCGCAGTTTAAAAGCAGGGCAACATAAATTGCCCTTTAACTATCAATACAAAGAGTTAATGTCATAAATTACTTTTACTAGCTACAAATGCATAACGTGACCTCATAGGGAAAAACCACATTCCAAGAGTGACAGAGCAGGTTTTTCAATTGTCTTTTGCCCTCTGGACGTTTCCCATCCTTCTCAAAACGTAGCCCAGGCTGTGGAAAAAGTTCCTTCCCGTGCACAGGCAAACAACTCCTTTTTATGACTCTCCCTCTCTTTCTGGACGTAAGTCTGGCTGCCCAAGAGAGATTTCAAAAGCGTGTATGTTGTGTTTTTCTCAAAGGTAAGTGATCCATGGGCTCCAGCTATATTTTCCAATTCCTTCATTCAGCACCATTTACTATTTTCATTCATTTAAACTCAGAAAACTACAAGAGCTCAGCTTTTAAACTACCAATCAAGTCTAAAAATACACTGTCAACTACTGTTTTTGCAAATGTAAAAACTAAACAGATCAACTTTTGACTGCCACCCAGTACCAAGAGTTTATTTTAAGTAATGATTTACAGCTGTGCTATTTGCACATTCACTACATCTGAAACAAACACAGCACAAACCAAGAACGATTTAAAGAAAGCTCTTACTCTGTGGTAAAGCCATTTCCACCAGGCTGGGCTGATCAAATGTTTTCCTGATGTTTCCAGGAATTCCTTACGCAGTGATTTAAAACCAATCTCCAAACCAGCCCAAGCAAACCAATTCCCGGGGCTGTATCCACTTTTCTCACCACCACGGCCGAGTTCTCAGCATCTTGATCTCCTCGTAGGCAATTGAGGAATTACGCATCTTTTCCCACTCATCAGAGTTTGAAGATTTTTCAAAATTTCAGACGAAAAGAAAAGAAAAAAGGAGGGAGGGGGGACAGACTCTGGCAACACTTAATTGAGATTAAGATCCTTCTTGATCACTCCACAGACATCCTTTTAAAGCTCCTTCTGATTGGATCAAAAACTCCTCTGGCAAGCCTCTAGCAGGACCGAATGGTACATAAATGTAAGCCCTCGAGTTATTTGTATGTAAATATGAGGACTGCTCTGGTGTAGACTTTCGGTAATTTGATACCAGCACTCGGTGCCTAACCGGTAACTGAGACAGCCTTAAATCTCGAGAGAGCGAGCGCGCGAGGTGCTGCATTTAATTAGGAAGCGACTCTTCTAAAATATGAATGAAGAAAACGGCCAGACGAGGTAGAGGAAAAATATTGGAAGAAGAAAATAAAGAAGTGGCCCAGGCGGGGAGTAGCAGAGAGCGCCAAGCAAACTTTCAACTTTGTTCTCAGCAGGGAACACCAGGAGGCTCAGTTATTTATGGTCCCTGTCAGGTGGAAGGAGGAGAAAAAGAAGAGAGGGAGGGGCCTGCCCTTGAGCTGAGGTTGTGAAACCGTAGCACTAAGGAAGCAGTAGCGATTCCCATAACTCTCAAAGATGCGCTTTAGAATGCACTAATCACCGCTGCTTTTCATCAAGAGTTTGAACAAAGGAGCAGAAGTTATCACAAGCTGGAAAAAGCAATTGAGCGTTGTTTTATTTCTGGCATAAATTATTTCAACTGTTGTAATCCACTCCAAGGAACCAGCTAGTTCTTCCTTGAGTGCTAACTGGGGAGCCAAACAGAGGGAGGGCTGGAGTTGGCTAGAGAGGTCTGTGTTGCAATGGGTAGGAGGCAGCACTGAGGAGGTGCTTCTGTCACTTTGCTGTTACACTGTTTCCTTCTCTCAGGGACTCATGGCCTCCTGAGCATCTAGGCTGCTCCACCCTGTTTTTGCCGGCAATGGAGGAAAAAACTAGCAAGATTTCTGCATCCTCCATTTGAGTACGCTGGAGAGGCAATTTCAATTGCTTTTTCTCAGAATAGCTGGAGAATGAGACTAGAGAGTAAGTAAAGGATTTGGAAACTGTCCTGCTGAATTAAGAGGTCTGCAGCACACTTCTGCATAATGGTGCATCTACCCCCTTGGAATGTTACCTAAACATACAGAAGTTTGAACCTGAAGAAGTGGAGCAAATGAAGTGGTGAACAAATTTATTTTTCCTGGATGAATGAATAATTACATGAGACTCATCTAATATTAAGATGATATGACACCTGGTGCTTTAATCTGATTAGTCTGGTGGTAATCAACATTGTAAATACAGGCATAGAAGGGAAGTCATTTACAATGCCCGGTACATGTTGACTAAACATTCCCAAGTCAAAGAATGATTTCCAACTCTGTAAAGAATGGAAGGGGAAGTCATGGTTAAAGAGTAGAAAATGCCTGAGAGTTCATCTGTTTTCACATCTGTACTTAAAATCCAAGCTACTCAGCAAAGCATTATTCAATGACTGTCCTTAACAAGGTGTGCAGTAAAATATTCCTTCCTCTTGCCTTCTAGGCCAGCCTCAACTCTTGCTCTGCCTTCACACCCACTCTGCCCTCCTGTTATACAGAATTATTTCAGTCCCTAGAATTCCTTAAAGGAGCCCTGGTGGCACGATGGTTAAAGCACTCGATTGGTAGTCAAAAGGTGGGTGGTTTGAACCCACCAGCGGCTCCAAGGGAGAAAAGACCTGACCATCTGCTCCCGTAAAGATTACAGCCTACGAAAACCTGTGGGGCAGTTGTACTCTGTCCTGTAGGGTCACTATGCGTCAGAATTGGCTTGATGGCACCCAACAACAACAGAATTTCTTAAGCTCTTAGACTTTGAACCTTTACATAGGGAGTACTTTCTTGATGGAAACTTTTCCCCACTTCTTCACCTGAGTAATTTCTCCAATCTTTAACTCTTTCTAGAACTCCTCCCATTCTCCACTCACCATATTGTTAGGTGTTCCTCATTTGGGCTTCCCTTACCAACGTGAACCGCCAATAAAAACATCTGCTTAGTCTCTCTCCCTCTGGACGGTGAGATCCTCTAGATCAGGTACCAAATTTTTCCTGGGTCTGGCATATTAGTAATGTCCCATAAATATTTTTGGAATTAATGATTGTTTTTACTGAAGAAGGTATTTTTTTTTTTTTAATTTACATACCACACACTGCGCTATTTTCCAATGTTAAGCTTGATGACTGGTGTACAGTAAATTTTCAATGAAAGTAAGTTTCCATTCTTCCTTACCCATTCTTCTTAGACTTCAGAAAGATCACTGTGAGACCAAAGGAAGTGGGGTGTGGGATAGGGGTGGGTGGGGGAGCTGTCAATACTATTTAAATCATTAAAATAAAATAGCCTTAATACATTAACTTACTATGCATTTACCGTTTTAGAACAGTGAAAACATTTCTTAAAAGGCATAGAATTTAGAAACAAAGGCAATGGTACTATTAAAATGCAGTTTTGAATATTAGGTACTCTGGGTTCAAATCCAAGCTCTATCATTCACTGGATTGGTGACCTTTGGAATACCATTTAACTGCTCTGAGTCACACTTTGAATCTTTACAAAACTGGGCTAATAACTCTGCCTCTAACTTAAGACTTCTTGGAGGTGTTCAAGTAAGATCAGAACTGTCACTATTATTCTGTAATATGGCTTGCTCTCAACCACGACAGCAAACTGTCCCTGTCCTCCACTGCCTAACCAGGGCCTGGCTCATCAGAGGTACTGAACAAACATTTGTTGACTGAACAAATGAATGTACAACAACAAAACTAATTCATTCTTACTTTGAGAAACAAAGCATTCTCCAACTATTGTATAGTACAGCATACTACTTACTGTACCAAAGAATAGAAAGGAGATTAGGTGAATTGTACTGAATAACTTGTTGAATTGTACAGAATAACTTGCTAACTACCTCTGAAGGCAATTCCAAACTTATTTTGATTAATGACAGCTTTTGACCAATGGTATGAGTGTGTGTAACCCAACCAAAGAAATTCTATTAATGAACAACACTCATACAATATCATATATATTTAGTTGAAAAGTATACATTACCAAGAGCACCTCTCTTCACTTAGTAAAAAGTACTTGTGTGCGTTTATGTCTCCTAGAAGTGTTTGATGTAGTGGTGTTACAGCTGTGTTATAGATAAATTTGACTACTTTCTGGCAAAGAAGGTGTGATACGTACTCTTCAAAGATGTCCCTCCCCTTTGACCCTAAGGAACCATGTCTCCTGGTATTCATGCCCTTTTGTAGTGCCTGCCCTTGTATCTGGACAATAGAATACAGGGGAAGAAATTTTGTATGACTTCTGAGGTTGCGTCCAAAGAAGCCTTGCAGTTTCTGTCTCAATTTCTTTGAGCATTAGCTCTGGGAGAAGCAATTCCCCCTATAAGAAATCAATTTCCCCTATAAGAAATCTGACTACAGTTGAGACCACCAGGCTCTAATGAAGCCCAAGGTAATTGTGTGAGGAGACTGTGTGGTGAGAGAGAGAGAGATGACCCAGTCAGCCCTCAGCTGTGCCAGCCATCCCGGCTGAGGTGCCTGACATTTGAATGAAGAAGCCATCTTGGACATCTAGTTATGTTGAGCCTTCAGATGAGTCCAACCTCAGCTGCCATCTGACTGCAATCACATGAAAGACCCCAAGAGGCCAGCTGAGCCCATTTCACCCAGAGAACCATGGGAGATAATAAATCAAACCACTGAATTTAGAGGTAGGTTTTTACATTATATTAGATAACTGAAACAGAGAGTAATGACAAATGACAAGGTCCAAAGGTGAGCCAGGGAGGTCAGAAACTGGCTGCCTAATGCATCGTTAATAAGTTAGAGTTAGCCCAGTAGCATGTTATGTGATTAGTGTAGACAAAGTCTAGGAGAAGTACCATGGCAAATGCCACTTATGAAGACCTAATCTATTTAGTATTGACTTTATACTTTATGAGCACTGATTTTCTTATCATCAATCCATTTCTGCCAACAAAGTACCAGAGGCTAGAAAATGTTAAAACAAACCAAAAATTCAATATATACCTTGATCCCACTATTAACCAATAATAAAATCTGTACACAGGCATTTAACTTCAATTTCCCAACTATACCTACTTACTGTTGTTGTTGTTGTATGCCGATGAGTTGATTTCTAACTCATAGTGACCCTATATGACACAGCAGAGCTGCCCCATAGTTTCCTAGGCTGTAATTTTTACATGAGCAGATTGCCCGGTCAATCGCCAGCTGGTGGGTTCAAAACGCCCAGCTAAGTGCCTAACCACTGCACTTCCAGGGCTCCATCCTACTTCCTACTCCTCTCTATGTCATGACTAGGTTAAGAGATTTCCTACATGACAAACATTCAAAGATCCACAAATTCTGTCCTCCATGAAAACAATACAAAATACAATCAGGAACAAAGGAGAATGTCAGTACATAGTGGAATATACCTGACCCAACTTCCTTGCTGTCTTTCATTACGCCCACCAATCATCCTTTTTATATCAAATAAAGAAAAAAGTTCTTGGCCAAATCTTTAAAAGTATAAAAGTGTTTTCTTGTCCTAGGACATCATTTCTGTTTCTTCTTCTTTTTTTTTTTTTTGGCATGTAATTTTCTTTTACTCGTTTCTGCCTTGAGACCATCACCAAACGTTACGGGTTGAACTGTGTCTCCCAACAATATATGTGAAAGTCTTAACCCTTGCACTTATAAATATGACTTCATTTGGATGTAGGGATTTTCTTTTGTTGTGTTAATGAGGTCATACCAGAGTAGGGTGGGTTCTAAGCCTGATCACTTCTGAGTCGTGTATTATAAAAGAGAAGAATAGACAGGGACACTCACACAGGGGGAAGACAACAGCCACATGAGGACCAGTCAACAAGCAAAGGAACACCAAGGACTACCATCAGACCCCAGAAACTAGGGGAGAGACAGGCCCACAGAAGAATCTACATGGCTGAGACCCTCATTTGGACTTTTACCCAGGGTTTCAAACTGGTTCCTTCTGGTTTGACCCCTGCTGAGAATTTGCATTTCCCACCCCAGATATACTGAATCAGAATCTATAGTTTAACAAGATTTCCAGGTGCTCCTGTTAAAATGGAGATATAAGAATCACGTGGGAATCTTGTTAAAATGTAGATTCTGACGTAAGAATCACCTGGGTATCTTATTAAACGATGTATCTGGGGTGGAAATGCAAATTCTCAGCAGGGGTTCAAACCAGAATGAACCGGTTCAAAGCCCTGCTTTTAGCCTCCACAACTGTGCAAAAATACATTACTGTTCTTTAAAGCCATCTACGTGTGGTACTTTTTGTTATGACAGCACTAGGTAAATAAGACATCAAGGAGTGCTTTTGTTGGTTTTCCAGGGATTGAAAGTTGTTTTCCCATCTGGCTGGACACTTGAATCTTAGAGAAAGTTCCATAATACCAAATTATACTCTGAGAAGCTTTACTCAGAAGTGCTTAACTCCTCTGTGGTGACACGTAGATTCTCTCCAAGTTATGTATTTTGAAACACTGTAACGTTGAAATTAATAGCACAAAATACCTGCAAATTAATAGTACAAAATCCCAAATTACAGGGGATTAAAAAAAGGCCAGATTAGAAAGAAGAGGAAGACAGTCTCTATACTCAAGTGATTCATTAAGAGTCAATTTCTCAATAGACGCAGCAGAGTCTTGCAGACTAGCAGTTAATGATCAGAAGTTAAAGGTCTTAAGTAATTTACTATTGCTTGTTCTGGAAAAAAAAGAAAAACAAGACCTTTCATGATCATGATATAGCAGTGAAAGACTATTGGAAAAAGTCTTTAATCACATCTAGTCTACATTGTAGAATAGCAGAATGAGATCACACCATTATAATCAACACTTTTATTGAGCATTTACTGTATTTGGTGCTTTATATATATTGTCTCATTTACTTCTCACAACCTTCTAAGAGAGGGTTGTTGTTTCCATCTTAAGACAAAGAAAACCCAGTTCACAGTGGTAAATAACCTAAGATCATGTAGGATGTGGGTAAGAATGAATTCAAAATCACTGGATTTGACTACAGAGCCCTACTGTTAACTACTACAGTGCACTGGCTGTAGAAAAATTAGAATACCATTGAACACATACTATAAGAAATTGGAAACCAAAATGTCAGCTCCATGAGGGGCAGGTGTTTTTGTCTGTTTTGTTCACTGCTTTATTCCCAGTGCCCAAACAGTGTCTGCCACATAGTAAGTGCTCAATAAGTGTGTAGAACGAATATAAGGTCAGCGATTGACTTCGGAGAAGAGAACTATATTACTGGAGCAAGGAGAAGAAGGGAGACTTACTTTTTACCGTAAACTCTTGTACCTTGGGAATTCTGTACCATGTGCATCTATCACCTATTCAAAAAATGAATAAAATTAACAAAATAAAACAAAATGCAGAGGCTACAGATACATGGAGAAAAGACTGAAGTTGTCAAGGATTTCATTTTACTCGGATCCACAATCAACACCTATGGAAGCAGCAGTCAAGAAATCAAACAACGCATTGCACTGGGAAAATCTGCTGCAAAAAAACTTTTTTAAAGTGTTAAAAAGCAAAGATGTCACCTTGAACACTAAGGTACACCTGACTTAAGCCATGGTATTTTCAATCACCTCATACGCATGTGAAAGCTTGACAATGAATAAGGAAGACGGAAGAAAAACTGATGCCTTTGAATTGTGCTGTTGGCGAAGAATATTGAATATACTATGGCTGCCAAAAGAATGAACAAATCTGTCTTGCAAGCAGTACAACATAATGCTCCTTAGAAGCAAGGATGGCAAGACTACGTCTCACATATTTTGGACATGTTATCAGGAGGGATCAGTCCCTGGAAAAGGACATCACGCTTGGTAAAGCACAGAGTGAGTGAAAAAGAGGAAGATCCTCAACGAGATGGACTGACACAATGGCTGTAACAAAGGGCTCAGGCATAACAATTGTGGGCATGGCACAAGACCGGGAAGTGTTTCGTTCTGTTGTGCATGGGGTCACTATGACTCAGAACCAACTCGATGGCACCTAACAACAACAACGGACACATTGCACAGGCTGTAGGTTCCATCCACCAGAAACAGTATGGTGACATATACAGGCCTTCCAGCTAGGTGTTAAAATGTGTATGTGCTTTTTCCAGTGGTATCTGGTAAACATGGAGAGGAAGCTCAATGCTTTCCAGTGTTCAACCTTACTTAAGAGACTGGAACCGAAGAAATAAATGACAAGATAAGAAGAAAGAGATGCATATTATTAATGTGGTATGTCTGGTAGCTGCCCAGTGTATGCCAGGATGCCTCTTAGAGTTTGAAAACAGTGGTTCTCAAACGGCAGTGTACATCAGAATCACCTGGAAGATTGAAAGGTTCTACCCCCAGAGTTTCTGATTCCTGATTTAGAAGGACTGGGATGAAGCCTGAAAATCTGCATTTCTAACAGGTTCCCAAGTGATGCTGATGCTGCTAGTCAAGGGACCATCTGTTGAGAACCACTGGTCTAAAGGATTTTACAAATAAATAACATTTATCCAAGGACAGGAAATTCGACAGAATTTAGTATATATTTTCCAGGTGGAAAATAAAGAAATACATAATTAAAATATCAGCTTCAGCAACTGAATTCAATTTATCGAGTGCCCAAAAAACCAAACCTGTTGCTGTCCAGTTGGTTCCAACTCATAGTGACCCTATAGGACAGAGTAGAACTGTCCCATGGATTTCCAAGGAGTGGCTGGTGGATTCAAACTAACTGTCAACCTTTTGGTTAGCAGCCAGGCTCTTAACCAATGCACCACCAGGGATCCTTACTGAGTGCAGTGCTTCTCAAATTTCAATGTGTACATGTATCACCTGGGTACCTTGTTAAATGCAGATGCTGATTCTGGAAGTCAGGGGTGGGGCCTGAGGTTCTTCATTTCTAACAAGCTTCCAGGTGTCTGTGATGTTTCTGGTCTGCAGACCACACTTTGAGTAGCAATAGCGTAGAGCACCAGATTAGGACATATGTTATGAGGAGTCAAGTATTGCCTTTGAGGCATTTACTCTCCAGTAAAAAAATTAAGACCAGGATACACACAATCATACAAATACTGCTACTGTATTCCTGCTAGCTACGATTTATTAAGTACTTACTATGTATTAGGTACTGTGCTAACTGAGCACTTTATACGTGTTTCTCATTCAATCCTCAACCCTATGAAGCGGGTACTATTATCTCCATTTTATAGATGAAGAAACAGATTCAGAGAGGTTAAGTCATTTATCTAAACTCACATAGCTAGTCAGTAGTAGAATTGGGATTATAACCTAAGCTCTTAACCAACCACTATTCCACAGTGGCAAAAGATGCACAAGAGAAATTACAGATAAACTGTTACAAGAACTCAAGAGAAAGGGCATCACACCCGACTGAATAGGTTTGGTAGAGGTTGAATGGAAGGTGTGAATTAAGAGGAGTGGAAGTGGGAAGCTGTCCATCCAGCCAGAGGGCACAGCATGAGTGGGAAAGAAGAGGAAGTGCTTTGAGAACAGCAAACAGCCGGGTTTACTAATGGGATAGGCAACCAAGTTGTAAGACATGGGACAGTTGGGCTTATTTTTAGGACCTTGAAATTGGATTATAGAATAACAATTGCCATTCCATTGACAAGCAACATATAGCCATCAGTGGGTGGAAACACACTCTGTTGACCCATATATATATATATATATATATATATATTTAAATAGACGACCCAAAATCTCCAAGCTCTCCTGCCTGAATTCTAGTTCTATAGTAGGAAGCATATAGTCACATAAATCTGACACAAAAAAAAAAAAAAGAGCTAGCGTTTATTAAGCACCTACTATATGCTGGTCACTGTTCTAAATGCTTGATATATGCTATTTCTCTTAATATTCATAGTAACTCCATGTGGTATTATTAGTCCCTTTTAGAAATGAGAGAAATAAAACAGCATATTTTATTTTTCTAAAGGTTCAAATAAAGGATATAAATATAGATGACTCTGAAAAGAAAATATTTTTCATGAATTCAAAAACCTTAATAAAAAATTGGTGTCTGTAAGTTGGTACAAAAGGAGCCCTTATGGTGCCACAGCAGTTAATGCGCTCAGCTGCTAATTGAGATTGGCCGTTCAAACCCACCAGCCACTCCACGGGAGAAAGATGTGGCAGTGTGCTTCCGTGGAGACTACAGCCTTCGAAACTCTATAGGGAAGTTCTACTCCGTCCTATAGGGTTGCTATGACTTGGAATTGACCCCTCGGCAATGTTGATTTTGGGGTTGGAAGTTGGTACAACCATTGTGGAAAACAGTTTGGCGGTTCCTCAAAAAGTTGAACATAGACTATCATACGACCCAGCAATTCTACTGTTAGCATATACTCAAAAGACCTGAAAGCAGCAACATGAACAGACATACGTACATCCATGTTCACTGCAACGCTATTCACAGTAGCTAAAAAGTGGAAACAACCGAAACGTCCATCAACTGATGAATGGAAAAATGAAATGCGGTATACATACAATGGAACAATTACTCAGCCATAAAGGAGAATGAAGTCCTGATACGTGTCACAAGATGGATGAACTTAGAGGCTATTATACTGCTCGAAATAAGCTGGACACAAAAGGACAAATACTGTCTGACATCACTTATATGAAATATGCAATTATATAGAAACTATAAGTACTTAGTAGTTACCAGGAACAGGAGGGAGGGGGAAAGTGGGGTTTTTTGCTTAGAATGAATTGCGTGAATGTTAATTATGGTGGGATAATTTGGAAAAAGAATGGTTACACAATCTGAAAAATGTAATCAATTTTACTGAAATATACATATATAAATTGATGAAATATTTTGTTTTGTTGTATGTATATTGCTATAATTAAAAAAAATTAAGATGTATGTCTCACCCACCATTTAGACAACAAATTTTCAGCACGGAGGATCCAAATGACTTTATTTGCTCACATGACTTTTCCCTTGATCCCCTGATAGTTTCATTCTCAAAAAAGCAAGGAAGCAGGACTAGGAAGGAAGAGAAAGTATTAGGACTCCCATCCACTCCAACCTTTGGAAACTTTAAAAGTTTAATTCTATTGTAGAGTTACACAGTAGTTCTGGGACAGTCAGTTAGATTCCACATCTGTATTTATCCTCTCATTTTGAAGTTTGGAGTGAGAGTTTGCGTTAAGCAAGGTTTCCTGCTGAGAATATTCTGAGAGACTGATGGAAGGAGGTGGTGTGCAAATGAGGGAATTGTGCCATCTGCTTCAGGAGGTTCACGTGGATAGTGCAGACACTTCTATGTCGGACCCATACAGAAACCCTAAGTAATTAGTGGTTACCAGGGTGGGAGGGAGGGGGACAGTGAGACATTTAGCTTGATGGCTCAGAAAGAAGCTGACTGTCCAACGACGCCCTGAGGTAAAGAATGGAGTGAGCTCTCTCCCTGTCATTCTCCACCTGGCCCCAGTCAAGAAGATGATGGGTCCTTTATTTTAACCTTTATTTTCCAGGAGACAAAAAAGCCTCTTTTGTCTTAAGAAGCAACTCCTGGAATATAATACTTTCTTGCTTTCCTCTCTAAATGTGAGAACTATGGGGTAAGTTGAGAAAATGGTTACGTGAGCTAAGAGTGGTGCAAATAGCTAATGCACTTGGATGCTCACCAAAAGGTTGGAGGTTCAAGTCCACCCAGAGATACCGCAGAAGAAAGGCCTGTCAATCTACCTCTGAAAAATCAGCTATTGAAAACCGTATGGAGCACAGTTCTACTCTGACACAGATAACGTTGCCATGAGTTGGAGTCAACTCAAGGGCAACTGGACTGGTTTTCGAAGACAAAAGAAGATGTTACTATTTTAAGGGATTCAAGTACCTTTTAGGAGCCTCAGTGGCGCAGTGGTTAAGAGTTGGGCTGTTAACCAAAAGGTTGGCAGTTTGAATCCACCAGATGCTCCCCGGAAACCCTATGGGGGCAGTTCTACTCCGTCCTATAGGGTCGCTATGAGTCAGAATCAACTTGACTGCAACTTTTTTTTTTCTTTGTGGAGAGGACATCTGTGTTCTTTCCTAGGTGCCACTGACTTATTTTCAACTCACAGCGACTCCATGTGATAGAGCAGAACTGCCCCATAGGTTTTTCTTGGCTGTAATCTTTATGGAAGCAGATAGCCAGGCCTTTTCTCCCATGGAGCCACTGCGTAGACTCCAACCGCCAATCTTCCGGTTAGCAGCCGAACGCTTAATCCTTTGTGCCACCAGCGTTCACAGATCTTGGCTTTGTTAGCAGGCAACAAATACTCTAGCTTGATGGTAGAGTTTGTACAGCTCTTCAGCAACAATAAAT